ACGAATTCAATGATCTAAGATTAGCTTTAAAACTTTTTTTCACAACACCCATTATAAATGTACCTAAACCATTTATAAATAATAAGTCAAAATACATATGTTTTTTCTCCATTAATTCTTCATCGTTGTAACGCAAAGGATTTGGTAGAAAACGCTTTCGAAAACAAACTACTCTATGCATCAGTTTACCATTTGGTTAAAGTCACAATGTGAGCAAAATATGCGCCAGAATATAAACAAACATATATGTTTGCAGAAATACATGGTATCTGCAAATTGCTTTGCACTGCGCGCATTTATGTTCGATTGTGGGCAATTTCGCGGTCTAACTATGAACACAAGCATAAGCACAGATATTAGAGGAGAAATAGTGGTTTTAAAACAGGCGCTAGCTTAGCCAATGCAGACCACTAACCATTGATAGCATATGAGCGCGATTTTTATTGCTTAAAAAAATAGGCATTCACGGCGTATACGCAACGTAAGTGGAATCGCATGGAGAACACCACGTTGTATGAGTAACTTTTAAAAATTCGCTTGTGATGCTTATATAATATTCACATGGGGAATTAGCATAGTTTACACAGATTACATTTCATGCAGGCATGTGAGTTTGTATGTGTCTGTGAGTATTTCTTCAAATTATATTTATTTATAAAAATTTATAGAACATTAAATGAATTTACCTATGAAAGAAGATTTGTAAACGTGCACATGTTGTATTTGGAAATCGTTTTAGTTGAGTGTGTGTGTTGTATAGTTATAGCGGTTCAAAAGCATGTGACAGGTATATCGCTATCGAAATAAATACACAAATGTACGCACATATTTATTATTGTTTAGAAAGACACAAGAAAAGGAAAACAAAAGAGAAACGGAAAGCGTTGGAAAAATTTCATATAATAGCTTTGTTGTTTTCCTATTTATTTCCATTTTTATACACTTTTTGTTCTCAGTTGACTATTTATTATTTGCATTCTGTGCATTCATGCTTGAAACATTTTGTTGCTGTTGGTATTTACATCGTTTGTTGCTATTGTCGTGCCATGCAAATATGCCAGCGAATTGTGCGCCCGTCGATGCCCCATCTACTACATACAACATGCCAACTAACCTAGCACTTGCACTACATATTTGACATCGCTGTAGCATCGGTTGTTTAGAAGCCAGTATGCGCCTGTGGCTATGTTATTGTTTGCTAACTGCCGCGTAAATATTATTCTTTTCATTTTCAACTATTCTGCCCGGATTTAGTTTTTATTCAAGTTTTTTCTTTTGTTTTCATTTGTGAGTTTTTCATATTTTCAATTTCATTTCCATTTAAATTTTTCAGTGTAAAATAGCAATTGGTTTCGCTTGCAAATGATTGTGTGTCTGGTATGCGGAAGTGAATGCGTAAAACTAATTGTCCTTTTTGGAAGAACATGCTGCCGTTCTAGCAAGTCGTGTGTTTAGAATTAAATTAAATATGAATTTCAAGCAAGGAAGGGGGACAATTATAGATATAAAAAAATTAAATTGATTAAGTCTGAAATGTAAATAATAAATAAGTTTAAAAAAATAGAAGCGTTTTTTCGCTTTTTGTGAAATAAATTAAAAACAAAGAATATATATGAGTATAATAGATCCGTAATAAGTTTAAAATAGATTAAAAAATGATTTTATTTCTATTCTGATGCTAAATTAAGCTTTTTTAACATCTCAGCTGTTTTGTAGAAATTAAAAAAAAAAAATTAAAAGATGTAGAAAAATTCGTAAAAGTTTAGAAAACTCATGAAAACACGAAATTATATTAATTTTTATATTATAGGAATAAGCTTAGTAAGTTCGAGATGAAAACTCAAAGCATCTAAAAATGTTTTCACTACATTAATTTTCAAAAAGCAGACGAAAAGTGTGATGTGATCATGTTTACTCAAACACAGCTTCAAATACCAAGCAGCGACTACAAAAACCTTAAAAATACTATGAGACACGCAATAATTATGACTTTGTTAAAAAGAAAATTGACGTTCACACCAAATAAGTTCAGAATTTAAAGCTTGCTCTGAATTTTATATAAATGTGAGTATGTTTCCTCATTAGCAACTTCAATTACTTTCCGTTGCTTACGATAAAGTTTTTAGCGCCAGTTTCATTTACGACTTCTGTTGCCGCCTTAACTTCAAGAATTTTATTTAACCACTTCTAAAGTGCAGCAGCTTTGACACTTTCTCTGCAGCAGCAGTGTTGTTCATGTAATTGTTTTTGTGCACTTATTGCAAGTGTTGCTTTTAACGCGATGAAGTCAACTGTTTGTGAGTGCACTTTTTATTTTTGGTTGCCTTTCGCAAAACTATTTTGACTTTCTTTTGCTAAGAGTTGTTGTTTATATTTTCCATTTATTGTTTTTTTTTTATTAATTTCTTTTTTTCAGAACTTTTATGGTATACCCTCCATATGCAAAGTTAACTCTTTTTAACCGCGTTGGCCGACACCAAAGTCATTCGCTCATCAGCTTTCACTTCATTTCAGTTTTAGTACCTCTGCTCTTGTTGCTTTCTGTTACCGCTACAATTTTGTTAGCTAGCGACAACTTTAATATGCTTTGTTTTGTGCGATACTGAGTGCGAAAGGAGTATTTTTCGTTGTAGTTGAAGGTGGTGATTCTCATATTAATTTCATTGGTGGTAGATATGTGTCTAACCACAACCGACCGGCGTTTAAGCTATCCAAGTGTGATCCTTCTTAGGGTCGACCCTCTAACCTAAATATGTGAATCAATGGCTTCACATGTAAATGTATGAGCACGTTTATGTCTTTTTCAATATTTGGTTACTCATACGCAGTGTATAAAATTACTGTTTTTCTAATACGCCGCATTTTAGTGAAATAAATATGAGAGCTTGTTATATTATGTAGCCAACGGAACCGAAAGAGCTGTCAAACTCACATGACTTCACTATTTACCCACACTAACACCAAGTTTAAAACATGAATTTCTTCGGTAAATGATATTCGGATAGAATGCAGAATCTCCCATGGCAAGGCAAAAGTTTGGTAGCTTTAAATCACATGCCTGCGGACCTAAGTACCTGTGTTTTAGAACTAATATACTTATTAAATGTCTTATATTATATCTTTTAAGGATGGCAAGAAGTTTAAACAAGTTGTCACAAAATTAAATAAAATTGTAAACAATTAAGAATAATGTGTCGAATCGTATCAAAGCTGAAAGGATCATAACGAACCAGCAATAAATATTTTGAATTCATACCACAGACTTTATAACTAAAAATTTTTAATTTAATTTCTCTAACTATTTTTTTTTTGCACGACATAAAATCTACACGAAAAAAATTCTATTGTCGTCCCTTAAAGATAGAAAAGATCGTTAATAGACTAACTTGCTTTAATGTTGGATCAGTTACCTTAAAATTTCCAAATTCAGCAAGCAACTATAATTACACAAATATGCACCAACAAATGATGACAATCTTGCCAAACGACCAGAGAGATTTAAAACCAATGTGTTGGAAAATTTTAGAATACCAAACCAATAACTAACTTTAAAAAAGTTTGCAGAAAAAATATTATGGAAGCAGTGAAAAAGTAATGAAAGAACGATTCATTGAAGAAATGAAGAATATGTGCATAAAATGGACGCGAAAAAGAAAAAACAAACAAAACAAAAGCGGTTATTGCATGCCAGAAATTAATCTAACAACCACGTGGCAAAGCAAAGCAACAAAAACAAACACAGTTGCATGGAAATAAATTGAAATTGAAAAAAGGAAAACACCTGACGCAACAATTTGAATGTAAATAACAGTAACCGTAACAGTAGTAGAGACACTAGCTATGTACAAAATAATGCATTGAGGTATAATACAACAACAACGACCAAGGATTGAAATAGTGTATTTCATACTAAGTGAAGAAATAAAAAATACGAAAAAACGAAGCAACTAAAAAACCAACCAACAACAATTAAATGAAGAATACAAACAAATATTTGCAACAACAAAGTAAATTTACCAGAAATAGAAAATAGGAAAAGTGTGACCAGAAAAAAGGTTACCAATAACCAAGCATTAAATGACGCAGACATTCGGCTTGTACCACGTTTACTCTTTTCTTCTTAAGTTGGCGGCTAAACTGTGGCAGACATAAGAGTAAAGAGTCTTTGAGAAAGAGAGTGAGAGGATGGAGGAATGATTGCTGGTCAGCTAGTTGTTGAAACGCAAATACAAGCAACGCTCGAAATAACTGATAGCCCAACAGCTGTTCGCGATTCGCTGTTCCAAAAGCGGTTGACAGTGAAACTGGTACATATAACATTATAACATTTAACTGACTACTTTACTGAGCACATAAATGACCATTTCGCTGACTACTCACACGACTACTTGCTTTACAGTTTGACTAACAACCGGGAGTTTACTTTTCATTGCTCTACTACTTTTTCATTTCACTCTACTTCTATGTGGGTATTTTCCACTTCGATCTCTGCGCTTTGGAACAGCTCACTTGCAAGTTGCTGAGTAGCACCTGTAAGTATGGCACCGTCAGTAGAACATTTGCACGACTGCTGCTATTGCTGGCGCTTGTGAATTTCGGCGCACAGCTATCTTCGCCGATCAACCGTACTAATTGCGACTGCTAAGCAGTGATACGGAGTTGAAAGGTATAGGTTAAAAAAGATAAGCACCGAAAGAGGGCGGAAGAGATAGGAAGGTAGAAAAGATATGCAATTAGTGTGAGTGAAAATTTGTGAAAAGCACATTTTGGGGCGCTTTTTGTATTTTTAAGCAACTGAAAATAGCAGACGACTGTTGCAGCAGGTTACAAACATAAATAACTTAATTTGAAAATTCAACGAAACAACAAACCGAAAGTCAGAAAAGAGAAATCAGATACAAAATGCAATCGAGCTAACAAATTGCGCTTTGCTCAAACAAAATGACAAATAAAACACAAATCTAAATGAAGTAATATGATATTTACAATTTTACATTTGAGTGCTGACAAGTGTGTGTACTCGCCTTTTACAGGAAATAGATGTATGTTTACTTCCTGGTACACTGTCACATATAAGTAGAATAAGTGCATTGACAAAATCAGATTATAAAAGCAATCCAGCATTCAGCCATGTGGGCGTTTCAGCTCTGAAATAGCAGCAGCCCTCTTCAGAGCAAGTGTTACTTCGTAGCTAGCGAGAAGAGTTGTGACGTGAACAGAGCGTAGCTAACGGAAAGGAAAATAACATATTAAGTAAAGTTAATAAACATTGTTGTCCACAATATCTATGCGTAAATCCAATATACACCAAGAAGCAAACGACAGCCGTGTGCAACCATCAAACTATTCGAGATCGATTCGAGCACACGAGTGCACATAAGGACTCAGCAAACAGAATCATTGGTATCTAAGGCACAACACACAAGTGCACCGCAGATGCTTTGTGTAACTACACGCATATAAAACATATATTTTTGTATCGCTACAAACACTGATCCTGCATTAGAACTACACCGGACAGCTGCTTGTCCATCTCAAAAAGAAGTTTTATTCCTCTTGCACTTCGAAGCTGAAGTTATTTGCTTTTGCACTTCTAATTTTCATGATTCCACACTTATGCCATGTGCGTGTAAATATCTTAAAAATAATCAGTACTGTTTGTCAACTCACCTCATTCTTCATGGTGTTGCCGTCCATATTCTGTGTCTGATCATTTTTCGAACGTAGATTGCTTTCATGTGCACTTTGCAGTGTTTTGAGAGCTGGAAGCAGGAAAGATACGTAACATATAATTTATGTGTTATCAAATACGGAAATAAATGCTATTTTATATGATTTTATTAATACAGTGTACTAAGTCTGGGTAGCAGCCTTCGAGTGAGGCTTTACCTAATATTCATGATAACATTTTTATGAAATCTTATTACAGTGAATCAGTAAATAAATACTTGAAACTTCCTGGATACCTTTAAGACATTTTTCTGATCTTTATTGCGAAATGGCTGCAATTGCTTCATACCAAGTTGACTCCTAAATTTTCTTTCCTTACCATAGCCTTTGCATGCTTCAATGTTGCCTGAACTTTTTGCCATAATCGCAATCACTTGTTTTGCGAACTCTTTCAAACTAAAGCTTCCAACTTTTATTTATTTCGATCACGCCACCTTTGACCTTAAAACGTTACTATTACTGCTAAGAAGAGGGACTTTAGACTTAAAGCTGGTTTTTTGACCAGTATATTTAAAATCCTCTTAACTGCTAACATATTGGGTTTTATGAGCTTATAGTATTCTACTGTGAGTAGTGAGTGGAAAATAATTTCAATCTGGATCATGTTTCAATAGTTTCAGTACTCGGTAGTTAGTGACAAGAGTTGATCATTTATAATAAGTAGAGGTACTTCTAATATTTTTCCAAGTTTTCTCAAAAACATATGCTCCAAAATATTAAAAACTTATTATAATAAGAATGAAATATCTTAATGATTTCGCACTATAAGCTAAAAGGCCCAAGGGAAAGTTTACTAGATTGCAATATCAATCATAAATAAGGCAATCAATAAAATGCCTAAAAATATGAACTTAATATTTCGGTGTGCCCAAATATTGTCCAGTCTTAAGGATAAGTCATATTTTATCATTTAAATCTTCCACTAAACCATTTTAATTTAACGAAAGAAAGTTTTTGTTTTTTAAGAGAAAGAGAGTCAAACGGACAGAATTGAACTCGCTTAATATAAGATATGTGGGTCACAATGAATTTCATGTTACAATCTTAAGCTTTCAAAAGCACAAACCAATGCCAAATGCTCTCATCAAAATAAAAACACACATATTCTAGTTCGCCGTCCCTCTTAAATGTCAAGCAGACTTCTTTGTTACCTAAAGCGTCCTTTAAGTTCAGTGTAAATGATGTTCATTCGCTTGTTATACTTATGATTATTACAATTAAAATAAACATTTTTATAACTTTATTTCGTTTGCACAAAAAGTAACAACGAATGATGCCAACCATTTTTCATTGCCAAAAAATGTTGTTCAAGATAAAATATTTCTCGCATAAAAGCAAAATGCTTATGGCACCAGCCAGCTAGCAAGCAGATGGAACTCAAATATGTTTACAATGAGACAATTGTATAATGGCCGTACTCCAGTGTACGTAACCACATTGAAACAGTAACACTCTTGGTGGCGACACTGCGACGCGTCACAAAGTCCCTGTTACGCCATGCTTGCTGTCAGCAGCAAATAAACTGGCAAATATCTTTAAGATAATAAAAATGAGAAATAATAATAACAACGAAAAAATTCAAACAGTTTATTCTTGTGCTGCAATTGGCCTACAACTGTCGCATATGCGAGATCTTAAGCATCTAAGGAGGCTCGCTGCTGTTTTCAATGCCGATTAAGCACAGTGGTTAAGGATGAGTGGAATTATAGATAAAATTTTTAAGCAATAACATTTTTTGCTATAGGAAAAAGAATATAATTATGAAATAAAAACTTGTGAAAGTATACCTAAAAGTTTACAAAAAAAATTGTTCAAAATATATTTAATTAATTAAATATTGAATAATACATTTTTTTCGTGAACAAAATGTTGTTAATGGATATTATATATAATTTTTCAAAAAGAAGCTGACATAACTTTTCAGCAACAAAGTTCAAATATTTATCCCTTATTTTAATAGAAAAAGTAAGTGATATAATTTCCAAAAAAAAATATATAGGTATATAAATATTTTTTTATAAAAAGTGGTTAACTGAAATATATATATAACAAGCTTTTTTGTAGACCTTTATTTTCTTAACGTTAACAAAACTTATTTAGTCCACAGATTATGATTTTAACTTTTAAAATAAATATAAATATATTGAAACAGGGTTAAATTGGTATACATATTTAATTTTCGTAATCTTAAACATTTTTGTTTAGAAAATATTTTATAAAATCTTTAAAGATTTTCATTTAATCTTTTTTTTTTTGACATAGAATGAGAAAGGAGAGAAATTTTCAGAAAATCATTGTGTACGTGATGACGAAATATGCTAGAAAAAAAATCTAAAAATATCATCAAGAATTTAATTTTCTCAAATGGAGGTATCGAACAATTAAACAGTACAGCAGCGTTCCGTAACTAAATGGCGATCTTCGTTTTAATATGCGCTCAAAGAAATGCTTCGTCGGTGTAGGATATTCGGACTGTGAGGCTATACAGAATACTAGAGAAGACCATGTCACTTAGGCTGCAGTAAAAGCACATTTCTTACTTGAAAGAAACTTCTTTACAGACAGTCAACCAAGTGAAATGAAAAGTTCAAGAAGTTGAAGAAGTAGAAAACAAAAATATATAGGATCCGATTGGTAAATCTAAGTAAAAACCATTGAGGGTGAGTTTGACATCAAAGCGACCGCCGACAAAGAGACCAGCCAGTCGCCAGCAAGGGGACATGCAGTTATCGCGATGGGTGATAAATGCTTACAAATAAAAATTTGTTGGTTTTACAACAGCCGTAGCTTAGGCATAACATATAAATGTAATCAATAGTATTACAATTTGAAGTGTGTGATGAAATCAGAGGGATGGTTGTGAAGAAGTAGGTAACGAGAGAACTTATGGTTTGTCGGTTTGGTTTTGTGGTTTCTCCGTTTGCAGCAGCCGGCTGCAACAAAATGAATTACCTGTTGGTGACAAATATCACGGCTAAAAACACGCAACAACAATAACAAATGCAATTAAATGGATCTGGTAAAGTTTCGTTTTTGTCTTATTCTTGCTTCTTCTTTGCTGGTTGTGCCATCCGCCGGATGTGCGGGCAAAGCTTTAACAAAATAATAACACAGGGCGACAAACTAAGGAAAAAATACCAAAAACGCCAACAAAAAATTTAATTGGTTTTATATGTCAAATACACTTGTCAATTAAAAGTATTAGATTTGATATTTTTTCCCTTTTCCCTTCCACTTCATTCATACGATTACTAGGTCAGTGCAGACGTGCACCTTGCGAACTACAAGAACAAACGAAAAAACCACATAAAGCAGAAATAAAAAATAAACGGTAAACTTAACAGAAAATTACATTTCTTGTTCCAATTATTGTGTCTGATTGACCACACCAAATGCCCCTTTCGTTTTGGCATAATAACGGTTATCGGCAGCACTTGATCTGATACGAGTGAGACCCTGTAGGAATAGTGAGCACCAGCGCTTGGTAAATCATTTGCTAAAACATTTGTGCTCGAAAAACATATGCTATATTACGTTTTTCTTTTGTACAGATATCTGTAATAAATATATTATATATATCTTGTCGGAAAATATAATAGTAATGAGTGCTAAAGTGGTAGAAAAATGTATACTCAATGCTTTTGGAAATATGTCTCTCTATAAAAGGTGATATGAGGAGGAAAATAATTCGCCCATTTTTAGATCGATTTTAGATTTTTTTGAGGAATACAACAGATCACATAGACATATGATATTTTAATCGGCAATGGCTTTATGTTAATTCTTAACTTAAGTAATTAATTTCTATAAATAAAGATCACGTAATATCTGGAAGCAAAATACGGTAGCCAAGTATAAGTCTACTCAGTGCATCGGGCTTTTCAAACGAGACTAAAGCAATATAGATACTTAGCCGTACTATTTACAAAGGAAAGCTAGTAGCGATGGCTTCTCTAGAGGAAATATCAAAACGCGGAGGACACCATTGCCATAGAATAGAAACACAATAATATAGGTGATATAATGTCATATGATATACATATACATATACATTCACATAACACATACACATACATACATATTTACCTTAATGAATATCTTAGTACACGGAAAAAATTTAATTTCTTGTTAAAGTGTAAGGAATAATAACCGCCATATAAAGAAGTTATTGAACACCTTCAAACACAGACGTATACAATTCTTCTTACGTGCTACTACTATCTATTTCATACAATTTGTTTCTATAAAAGAGAAAAAACTGAAGAATGTTAACTAACGCACATGTGATTAAATGGTTAAGTGTCTGCGAGTCTGTGGCGATGAAAAGAAGTAGAATAAAAGCCCGTAGAAGCGTCTACTAACCCGAAAGGGAGAAGGAATATGTAGGTATGTTTGCCACTGATGGCTATTCACGGCAAACAAAATGTCAGTGCGTTGCGTAAAGCGGTCACTTCTGGTGAGTCAAGTTTTAGTCTAATAACGTTTATACAGAAAAAAATATAGATTACAGCGGACTGGAGGAAATATCGTACTAAAAGGGGATAAGCATGCGTTATACCAACGAACGTTTTGTAAATAACTAAAGCTTGTCAACTACAGACAGTTAAATGAGACGTAGCTGGCATTGGAGGTAAAAAAATTCTAGAGGTGAATAGTAAAAAGAAATCAGTAGGTGACAACTATGTAATCCTTTATAAGCTTGTCAACTTTAAGGGAATATTTAGATATGTTTGAATGAGTCAGTGAGGTTGGCTCCCTGTCTCACTTTACAAAAAGCTAAAGAGGAATGAGTTGGTATTATTGTCTGGCCGTACACGTGTCGAAAATGTTTCTACTTGGAACCTTAAAATTTTGTATTTGGTTAAGCACATTTTTAAAAGTTCAGTAAGTTAGGGAGAAATAAACAGTTTTACTGCTGTCATTAGAAAGGCACAGTGCAACTAAAACATTTAGCGGATTGTGGGAAATATGAGGTAGCTTCAAACCAAATGAACTGACGAACAAATATTTTCTAACCAAGTGACTTTGTATAGATTGAGGTACCTCTAAACGTTCAACTAAAGAGTTAAGACCAAGACCAAGACTAAATTTAAAACCAGGACCAAGACCAAGACCAAGACCAAGACCAAGACTAAGACCACGACCAAGACCAAGACCAAGACCAAGACCAAGACCAAGACCAAGACCAAGACCAAGACCAAGAC